ACTCAACGACCCTTAAAATGGACAACGAACAACGAATGAACAATTATTTAAATAACATAACCTTAGCGAACCTTATAATAAAATAAACGAAATTAACGAAATGCAAATTACATAACATTCAACTTAATCGACGGGGGACTCTAGAAAGGAAAAAAATCTGGACACCGCTTGCTAGTGCTAGCGCCATCTAGTGGCGAGCGATACATGCGAACACCACGGTGCCGGAGTAGTATTGATTGTTGAATGTGGTTACTCCAGATCTTCGATTTTCCTAGTTTTTATAGTTTTCCCTTTATGTGGCCATTAAACCCTAACTCTGTACCAAATTTCAGCTCTCTGAGTTTACGGGAAGTACTAGTTCTATTTTGATGATTATCAGTGAGTGAGTGTCGTAAATACGAAACTTTGCTTTCGCTTAACTTCGGAACTAAATGACCTACAGGCTTGAAATTTTGGATTTGAAGTATGTGATTATAGCTTACTAGATGACGAAAATTTCTGCGTTGTGGTCTTATCCAGAGGTTCTCAAATAGGGGCCTGAAAATGCGGCGAAATGGTTCCAGTAAAGGATGGTACGTCAGTGTTTGCTTTGCGCTCGACTTGGCGGGGGCACTGCCGTGCCCCCAGATATTGTGAGCTATTATTACTGTGTGAGATATGTATTTTAAAATAGTTAAGAGTTTAAACAATATTGATATGTTTGATGAATATTTTTTTTTTACTATTTATTTTATTTACCTTTTTATACTCAATATGTTTTAATAATTTGTTTGACAGTTACAGCTGTATGTCCTCAGGCAGACTATTTTTTGCGCTTGCCTATACAGCCTCCGATATTAAAAATCTAGAATAAAGAACCTGTCACTTTCACTTCTAATCTATGTAGATTTAAAACCATCCACGCATTTACGCATTAGCATTCTATTCTTAGATACATTACGTAACCCAAATATTTGATAAGGTAAGTTAATTAATTGACGTTTAATTAGGTACACTCAATTAGGTGCTACGAAAGTTAATTATTAGGTAACCGATATGGTCTAAGATATAAACATTAATACATATGATTAGCCGAGGTAGAGTTGGAGGTTGAGATCAGCGATGGGCAGCATTTTATGTGAATTTTTTAGAGGTAAGGCGAGGTACTTTAATAAGGTACTGTTAATTGTGAAAAATCTAAAACGTATCGTTATAGCCAATGAGCTGCTGTCATTGACGTAATGTCAATGTCACACTAGGATCATACGTGAGAATAGTGGGACGACTCCCCGCGCTTTTGATGCTAAGTGATGAATTGTACTTAAAATAAGGCAATTGTGAAAGTATAGTATTCAGTGTTTTATTTATGAGAATAGATCTACCGGCCTCTAATAGTACTTACTTTTTAAATCAACATATTTACAGAGTAATTTAAAAGAACAAATTAGCGAATTTAATGTCTAACTAACTCCCTGCAGGGCAGCGTGGGTAATGAAGGTTAAAACTCTATCTGCCTGTGGTAAATTAGAGGGTTTTACTTTTTCAGTGGGATCCAAATGATCTAATAATGTTCCATCCAGCTTACTAATAATGCCAACTTCCAAAAGGCGTGATTTCTTAAGTTAGTAAAGCATATAAATACTATTATGTTCTAAAGTAAATTCTAAAATCAATTATTAAACCAACAATTCAAAATACTCGATAACGTTGTTGTCCCTCCATTAAAGTTTAAAAGTAGGCAATTTTCAAAGTAATAAAATAAAAAAAATGTTTTACACTTCTGGTTACAAAATAAGCGTTACTTTTATATCGTAGTCGTTAACAGTTTTTTATAGTGCCGAATAACTAGTAACCATTAAACGATATACCAATTAAAAGGCTATAATTATTATTTTGGGATCATGGAAACTAGTTTTTTGAAAAGTTTTATCTATGTTAATATATTTTAGAGTTACCTAAGTGTAGTTTACGATAAATTACTGCGATACATATTGTTAATTTATTGGTAAAATTTTGACTCATTTTAACATTTTGGCCCTTAAAAGTGCAGTTGAAAACTGTTTTAAAGTGACATTTCCATACTAAGCGTCACTTTAAAACTGTGTTCATCTAGTGTGTAACTTTTTATTAATAAGGGGGTTCATGTTTATCTATAAGTAAATCTACGATAAGGAAACGCTATTAATGAAGTTTTTTATCATGGCAAGACTTGGTATTAGAACTTGTGTAGTTGCAATAAGCTATGAAACCGTCGAAATACACAACAGTATATTTAAATAAAATACATTTTGTTCGTTTTGCTAAATTATTATCATTACAAAGCTTAATAGAACCCATTTAAATGAAAAGCCAGCGATATAAAAACCACACAGTGCAAATTGAGGTAGGTAATGCAATGACGTTGCACAATTTTGGTTCCGAAGCGAATTTTAAAATTTTACATTTTAGTCTAGTTCCCAGTCAAAATGATGATGACACTCATGATTACGTGAAATAAGCCACCTCTTGATTTAGATGGGACTCGATCCAACACTTTTTTACTTGCTGGGCAACTGCTCTTACCACTGAACTATACTGACACCGGTAACTCCGTTGAAGTTTAGGGAAGTTATATGAATAATTTTTTTTTGCACTAATTTTATAGGAAAGTTTAAAATATTTGTGAATTTATTTGTGCATGAAATTTCTGTATTGATTTTGAAAATTATTTTACCAGTAGAAAGCGAAATTATTCTTATGATTTTGATCAGTTTTATATGATGAAAATACGCCCCCTACGGTATAACTGAAAGTCAGGCAGGTAAACCCGTGGTCAAAATCTCGTGTCAAACAATGGAAATACGAGTACTTTCTCTACAACACGATTTTCCTGACGCACAGTAGCTATTTTATTTATTTACAAGTAGTTCAATGGTCCATTAGAGTCATTCAAAAGTGCAATGACAATTCACTGTCTTTAACTCCGTGTGAACTTTACACGCAAAGTGCCTTGAATTTGAAACACTAAAGTCGCGTTAAGCTAAAGGCCATCAGTGGTAGCATTACTCTAATATTCGGAACGCCAAAAAATGCAGACTTACGTAAATCTTGTACCGTTATACCCTGGACCACAGTGCAGTAGAAAGCAGTAGTGAGGTTTAAAATTTTATTATGTAGAGATATGTACGCTATGGTTATATGATTAATATTGCAACTAAATGTCAAGACGAACCATACTATTGTACACTTATTTTATTTAATATTTTAATTCTATTTTACAAATTTTTTTCTGGCAAAGCCTGGAAAAGATAGCTAAGACCACTTTTGTGAATTTTTCTATTCTTCTAGTAGTAATTAATTTATCGAATTTTATGTAGTTGTTTGGTGCAGTGATTAATATTATAAGCAAAAATAAGCCGGTTTGTTAACGCCGTCTCAAGCCTTATCATACTATTTTTAGCTAATAACCTTTATAATACTACAGAGAAAAAATACAGTTCCATCGTTTCAAAATATATTTGCCCATAAAAACAATTAAAATAATTGGCCCCAAATCAAATCAGAATGTTATTTCGGCTGTATGGGAAGTAGCTCTACTATTTTTTCAACTCAACTATGGCCGCCGTCGTTTCGCTCACAATGCTCGAAGCCCATAATTCGCACGCTCTCGATTTCGATACTTTTTGCGTTTCGTTTCGACACGCGAATTCAATCAAAATGTCTAATAAAATAAATGGGATGTGAACTCTAACTGCGCTAGAACTGAACGCTTTATTATCATGGTTCTATTTTTATTGCGCTAATTGATTCAGATTTACAGTTTCTTGACATGCAAATAATGAATGCTGAATGACTGTGGTCGAAAATGTTGCAAAAGTCAAAAGGTATTTTAAAATTATGGCTTTACGATTTAATTTTTATATTAAGCGTACAAGGACTAAAGACCGGTAATGTGTTCTGAGAAACTTTGTTCAATGTTTTTGTAAAACGATGATAATTTACTTAATTGTTTTATTTCAATACTTAGGTGTTTTCATTCGTTTTACATATTATAGGTTAAATATTATTTTCTTTTGGCTAAGCTATCTAGTAAAAGGCGAAAGATTTATACGTATTGAAGGGAAACCAGAGAATAGAAATCCGTTATGCTCTATGGGTGTGAAACGTGGAAGGTCACCAAGGTTATCTCGCACCAGCTGCAGGTCTTCATCAACCGCTGCCTTCGCCGAATTCTCGGCATATACTGGCCCGAGAAAATCTCCAACGTCGAGCTATTGGAACGCTGCCACGAAATTCCAATCGACCAGCAGATCAAGCGCCGCAAGTGGAACTGGTTTGGCCACACTCTCCGAAGGGATCCCGATCACATCCCTAAGCAGGCTCTGGATTGGAATCCCCAAGAAAAACGCAAACGTGGTCGACCCAGGCAAACTTGGCGGCGCACTGAGCGGACGAGGCGAAGAAGATCGGCAAAATCTGAAGCGAGATCAAGCGAGAAGCTCAAGACCGAACGAGATGGAGGACTGTTGTGGACGCCCTCTGCCCCATCTAGGGGACATAGGACCTGTCAAGCTATCTAGAATAACATTGAGTTTTTTGGCTAAAGAATCCGCCCAAAAAATGAATTTAATTCTTGCATAGAATAATTTAATCGTAGATCAAACTTTTGGAGCTAGAGTTCATTACGTACGAGATTTTGTAGGACTAAAAAAATATTGAATTTATACCAATCAAATGATTGAATGAAGGTCGGAGAGTCATTTTGTTACATTAACCGCTTGAGTCCCAGACGGCATTCATTAATGTCATAACAATTGATTATCTATTGTGTCTAGATTGAAGCCTTGAAGGATTAATCTTAATAACTGGTGTCATCATCATCATCATCATCATTTCAGCCATAGGACGTCCACTGCTGAACATAGGCCTCCCCTAATGCTTTCCACGTTGATCGATTGGTAGCGGCCTGCATCCAGCGCTTCGCTGCTACCTTTACGATGTCGTCGGTCTACCTTGCAGTAACTGGTGTAAATGTAACTTACTTTTGACACGGGTTCCTCGTTCCAGCCCCCGCAGTTGGCCATGCCGTCAAACAGTGTCAGCTCGCTGCAACAAAACAGAAATTAATATTATTTTTCGTTGCTAGCACTTGATCATTGAACAGTTAAAATCAATGACGGTACGGGACTGCACATCACCCTACTACAAAAAGACAAATGCCTGAAAGATTTTGAGCCCTATTAAAAATTCACATTAAAAATTCAAAACTCGTACTTTTGTAGCAGATCGAAATTTTATGTCAAATCTCAGTACAGCAATTTGCCGATAGCCTTTTCACATTAGTTAGTCCAGCTAATTCGGCGAGGTGATATCGCACTTCGTATGAAAAATATCATAAAATAAATTTATTTTACATAAATCCAATGTCACACTGACCTGGTGGTCATAAATCAAGAATTCTATATGTCCCGTTTTAACATTTCCATAGCAACTGCATACCACATCTCATAAAGTTTACGAAATCATTTGCAACCGCCAGCTTGATGCTGCTCAATATTTGCCCAAGATCTCATCCTCTGTGCCAATTCCATCCAAGCGGAACACGGCCGTTAACGACTATGAAAATTGCGCTGGGCACGGATCATTTTCTAAATGTTTAAGGGCTGGTACACTGGTGTCGTATAGTTTTTGCAGAGTGGAAGACCCAATCCCACTCCTCACGTGGATGTCGTAAAGGTGTCTAAGGGAATATGCTAACATCAGGCCTTCCCAACCTAAAGCTGGCGCCGAACACTCTAACGTGTCCGACGACTTCACGAAATTTTTGAAATTTAGTTTATACAAATAAAGACAATTTATAAGTTTAAAGTAATGTTTGAATACTTACATATTTTTTACTGAATGTTAATTAAAATAGTGTAGGTAATACAAAAACGTAGTATCATCATATTTCTTGTCAGATAATTAAGATGAAATTCAAATCTCTAGGGTATTTTTATTGAGCTTTTCCAATTTATGTGTAACGCCTGAAAATCAAATCTGTAACCTACTGAAAAAGCTTTACTATCTTACCATCACATCACGGAGAAGTAAATTCACAACATTATTTCATTAAAATAATATGCATATTAATTAATAAGTAGGTATCATCGGTAGGTAACAACCCTAGACTGGAAGGTTGATAACAGCATTAAAACTTTCTTCTGTCGTTTGATTTTAGACCGCGGCTTTATGGTGACTTGTCGCTGTAATAGATATAATTTTATTGAAAGTGGAGGAATTTTAAACAGGCCATTGTTAACGGTGCGATTAACAGTACTAATGTGATTTATCGACCTAAAAAGCTCTTAATTTCTGATTATCGCAATTTGATTCTACGTAAAACAGTAAATTAATTTAATTAGTTTATTTTTGATCCCTAAATCAATGTAGGGTTGTGATTTCACTAGTTTTTGATGTTAACTGATCGATTTTAACGTACAGTTATTGCAATTCACGAAGGCGAGTGAGCTTTACATGTGTGATGGCTCGCTACTGTTTGTTTATCAAAGGTTTTGACAGACATTATACTATCGTTATGTGCATGTACACGTACACACACAAGTAAAGCTCACTCGCCTTCGTGAGTTGCAAGATTGTACTATTGGTATTAGACATTTATTCGGCCGACAGTTGGGACCGATTGTTATTTGTATGAAGAATCGGCCGATACCAATGTCCACACTTTCATACATTTTCATACTGATTAGTACCAGACCCAACTATCGGCCGAAAAACGTTCTGTGGCTTCCTAATATTAAAAAACTACTGTTAGAAAATAAATAAAACACAAATTAAACGTTTTCTTTCAATGATACTTTAGAATTCATTGTAACTGGTCTCAATATTCATTAGAAATCGTTTATCAAAAATATATTTTTTTTTTATGCATAACAAGGCAGGTATTTGACCACAATCGCACCTCATGGTAAGTGGGATGCAGTCTAGGAGGATTATCTTGAATATTTCTTGTTGCTTCATTATTTTAAGATAGTTAATGTGAGATCGAGCTTAAAGCACAGTCAACATCACTTCAGACTAATATTTTTGTTGCAAAACAACATCTATTATGAGCACACATAAATAAATAAATAATATCCTTGGACATTTTACACTGCGCTTCTAGTCCCAAACTAAGCAAAGCTTGTACTATGGGTACTAGACAACGGATATAAACATACTTAAATACTTTTTTTTTTGTAAATCCATTCATACTATACCTACATAGAAAACACCCAGTCCAATACAAAGAAATATGTTCATGCACACAAAATAATGTTTGTACTGTGCGGGAATCGAACACGCTACCTCCGGAATAGTAGTCCGTTTCGAACCACTACACCAAACGGCCGACTTAAAGATGCCGCAATGTTTTGCCGTCTGTAATCCATTCGGTTAACCTCTATTTAACGTTTATTGAAAACTATTAATTGAATCAAACGAATTACCGGTTCCCGCAACCGATTAGTTATAAGATTCCCATCTGTTAAGTTGATTAGAATTAACGGTTAAACCGCATTAACGTTTGTTAAGTGCTAGATACTGTGGGAGTAGGAAGCGACTGAGCGGTATTGTTTCTCCATAAGTAATTTGCTAATACATTTTGTAAGTAGGTACTATTTTAAGTGAAGACATTTTTTATGTGGAACCAACACAGAATTTCTCAAATGATCGGTCAGTTGTATAAATTCTAGAAGATTCAATGTTGATCCCATATAGTTCTTTTTTGGAGCACCATAATTAAATTAACAGGGTTTTACTCAGCGTAATTATGTAGATTGGATGGCTTGATATTTTACGTGCTGCGTACTCAGCCTAATTATGTAGATCGGATGATCTGATATTTTCAGAAAGAGTCACTTTTCGCACTTAAAATATTATGCAAGTACCTACCTAAGATTTATTTCCTCTTAAACAATTATTGGGGTTATTCTCGATGTTACAAAAATTGTCATAGCCATTTCTTCAGTGAATATGGGCTCATTCTTCCATCAATATGGCTCTATACGGCCTGTACGGCGATGTTACGGCAATAAGCGGTTATCACGCCATCTTATCGATTTTCCCCATACATTTTGACGTCGATAAAAGTTATCACGGCGCGCATCTTAGACCTACTGGTCGCTTCGCCGCACTATTTCACATGGCTCCGCTTCACCACTCTTTCTCTCTCAAATTCTAAGCAAAAAAGACTTTCCCTTCCAACACCATCCCACTTTTTATCAAATACCCTCATTAAAAGTGTCCGCTCGTGATTTACTTGCGTGGATCAATACGATTGCGTAAATCGATCGAAAGCGATCTTAGATAACCCATTTTACTTGATTTTCCGCACGCCGATTATGAGATTCGCTGTTTTGTGTGAGATCTAGTTTTACGTATTATGTAGGAACACATAATGTAACTTTTGTTTATGTATACCGCCATAATATAGCGTGTTACAACGTTGTATATCGAGATACAATGTGCACGATATTGTCTGTTAAAAGTTGGAACGAGGAAATGGCGTTGGAAATTTGGATTATTACACTCTTATACAGCTAGATGTATTTTTGTCAGTCACGGAATCTAAATTCTTTACATATCAGCAGATTGATAGCCTATCCCAAGCAAGTAAATTATAGTTCCTATTTTCTTGAGCAAAGCTGAAAAATACTGAAACGACATTTGTCGAAGTATGTAGGTATGTAGAGTCTGGCAATAGTGAATAAGTTTCTTGCGCTGCTTCTTCTTAACACTGGCCCATTTACTATCCTGAAGCAGCAGTAGGGTTAATACTGGGACGTGTACAAGTGCTTTTTTAAAGCCTATTTGCAAAAATAAATGAGTTTTCTTTTATGAAAATGAAATAAAACTAATCACAGATCCAAACCTACCGGCAACAGACCTGTTTTGATTTTATGGTAGCCTTACCCTGCTTCTTCCTCACTCTTTATTTTCCATCGTTTTGGCCACAGGACCCAGGTACTGTAACCCATTTGTTCCAGCCAATTTCCACTCAATTTTTTGTCTTCAGTACTTAATTATACTCACTAAGGTTCTCTACATAACCTACAAACATGCTTACGATACGCTCTTGGTAATTATCTATAACCACAAAAGTTATTTGTACAAAAAATGTTACATAGTGCCCATCAAGCGTAACAGCTCTACAAAAGTCGCTCTTATTCCTCACACAATACGTTTGATCAAGTCAAGATGCTTCGTTTAAATACTATGATGATAAACAAATTGAAACTTGATTGCTTACTCTGCGGTATACATGCGCGGCAATGGACTGGAATGGAGCATGCGGCGGCGGTATGAAATAGACCCGCCGCCGGCGATGTGGTATGAACTGAAGTTTGTAGAGAAGAAGTGAGAAGCTGAAAGCGGGTTAGGTATCTTTTGCCAGTTTTCACCATCAATTTTTTAAGTGACCCATAATGTAACACAACAGGACTTTTGTTATTAAAGGGGTTATTTAAAATTTAGGGATTGATGGTGATAACGGTCATTTATATTTGGGGGGCGACCGGGGTGTTAATAACGTTTGTTGACACACAAGTGAGAGGTAAAAAGCGGATTGAATGTTTTTAATTTTTTGGGGATGGTTGCGACGGGGGCTATGTGGTAAGGCTAAGTTTGTAGACTTAAAAGAGACAGAACAGAGAAGGAGTGTTTGATTCTCTTCAGTAACACGGGACTTCAGTTACAGGCTTCAAACCTTTACTTACTCTGCGGTATACATGCGCGGCAATGGACTGGAATAGACCCGTGCGCGGGAGTCACTTTGCGCCGCGGGCGATGTGGGATGAACTGAAGTTTGTAGACGCACAAGTAAGAGGCAGAAAGCGGACTGTTTTTTTTATCAAGGAAAAATGCTTCACGTTCCTTTGATAGAGCTAAAATTAAGTATCCAGTTGGACTCTATTGACTCAGTTCAATTCCCGTTTTTCTCCAGTTTGTTTAGAACATTGAAGGTTTGAAACAATAAAATTTAACTGGCTAAATAGAGGGCTCGTTTGAGCTACGAGAGTTTGATTGAGCTAATAATAAGTAGTTTAAGTCTAGTCATGAGGGAGGGGTA